CATTTTCTGGATAGGAGGAATCGAGCTAATTCAGCTCAAGACTCGCACGACTTCCTTGCTAACACAGAAATAGGAGTTTGGGTAAAGTGGAAAGATATTAAAAAGTTTTACGGGCAGTGAACGAAGTCACTGCGTATCCTTGGTGACCATCGATAAGAAATACAGAGCATTTCTTTGTTTCAGTTGTCATCTTCGCGTGAAGTACCCCAAGACCCTCAAGCTGGAGCCGTAAAACTGTGGATTCTGTGTGATGTAGAAGAATATGTTGATGTGACGGGAAAATGTATGGGAAATTTTTCTTGCCTTTCCGAAGCAAATAGGAGCACTTCGTTTGTTGAACCGTCTATCGAATTCTACCGTTCAAGAGCACAATTGGGCATCCTGCAGTTAACCAATACTAAGTACCAAATATTGGTAGAAGTTGAACAATATCAAAAGCGGTCCCATGTGTAAAGTTTTCCATGCCATCACAGATCACTAGTATCTTGTAATGGCTTAGACGACTCAAATGACGTTTACAATGGAAGTTTATCTCCTAGCCCGGCTGCCTTTAGAGTTGAGGAAAAAGGCTTAGATTTACTCGACCTGAGATACAAACTTACACACTACTCATGAACTGTCCTTGCTAAACAATACATAATGATTAAAGATCTTTTCTAAGAAGTGCAGTCTCTTTTGTATTCCGCAGGATTCATGGCAATCAGTCAGTTGTAGAGCCTCAGATACGAATGAAGACTGGTACCCTATCGAGTACTTATCGCTGAAGTGGCTATTGGCTTTTTTAGAGTTGTCCCACAATTTTGTTGTACTTGTTATATTCACATCTTTATTTAAAATCGGGTTTATGTTCTAAGGGTGTGTTATGTAGAAGAATGTTCGATTTTCACTGGAAAGGAGTCGTGGGCCTACTACGCAAATATTACGAGTCACGCTTACTGGCTGTTTCGCAACGAAGACCCGCCAGTTCAGCCAAAGTTTCATGTTTGGAATCTATGCTTTCGGTTTTATAAAACTGAAAAAGCACGCCGCTTGTGAACTGCTTGACAGCAAGCTGACAATCAATGCCAATGTGCGCGATGGGGGACGTCTATGGAAGCTGGCTGCAGCAGCGTGAGAGAAGCATCCAAGACGACTCAATGTCACTCTTTTTCTGGATAATGGTCAACCTCACATTGCCAATTCAACCCACATGTTGAAGAAGTTGAGCTGGACCACACAACCACATCCACCGTATAGCCCTGATATTGCCCATCGAAATATCGACTCTTTCGCTTCCAGAAGTTACATCTGCGAGAGGAAAAATTTTGAAGATTACATTTAACTCAAAAGTGACCTTACCGACTTCTTCGATCGCCAGCCCCATTCTTTTGAGAGGGAAGCATATAATCATAGCCCCAGCAAATGGTTGGCTATCATTGATCATTATGGTGATTATGCTGTTGAATGATTGTTAATTTGAATCAATAGGATCAACATATGTGTCGAAATGCGAATAGATTTATGGGACAATCCGATCACTGTGGATGCGGATGTTTTAAGGAGTTTGGGAGATAAAGTTTACAGGCATTTAGATGAGTAATAGCATTCTAAATATAATACTTTGATAACAAAAGGGTCAGCGTTCAAACCCTTAGACGCTGATCGATTCCTTAAGGATGTCTCAAATAACAATAAATGTAGAAGTAATAGATGCATATTTGGCCAGTTCAATGAGTTACGGAATCTACCATACATCAACTCATTTTTTTCTCCCATATAGGCCTGGTATCAATGTCTTGCACAGGTCTGGTACCAATGCCCGTCTTGAATAGACAAACAAGTAAATAGACATTTTACACGATTTCACACTCATTTCAATTTCTGCTCAGTAACTAATTACTACTTAATGAAGTTTAATCTTGGATATTCTAATCACTGATTTCGTTGGGTAACGTGATATTACAAATGCATAGCTATCCACTTTTAGCATTGTAACAAGCCGAAATTCGATTTGCGTTGCTTTTCCATGTTCCTTTTTTCAACATAGACTCAAGCTGCTTTGTTCAAACACTAGCAGCATATCCGTGCTTTGGAGGCAAAGGAATCACAGCGGGTAGTTAGGCAGCTACACGTTGACAGATGCGACAAATGACTAATTTGACAAAATCTCGCTTTTCTGCGTTGCAGCTCAAATTTTCTCATCCGCATCCAATAACAGCCATCAATTTCTTGCTCATAACGTAGCCTTTGAGTGGCAATAGCCAATGAAGCGATCTTAGTATGTATTGCAGTAATGCTCCGTACTTACTTTTTTTGCAGACTCGATTTGTGACGCCATTCATAATCTTTCACGTTTTTCTCATCTCGTTGAATATAATTGTTGTTCTAATCGACGTTGGAGAAATGGTGACTGAACAGGTATGATGAGAAGCAAGAAGTTTTTCAAAAATCTTTTTATCAGAGTATATTAAGTTTTGAAAGTTATCGGTCTCATTTTCGGCACCTTATTCTAGGATTGACAACGGTAACAATCATCTTCGGGTTTTTATGTGCCCAGTTTAGAATCAGGATCGAAAGCCTGAACTAACATAACGGCATAAAATTCGAGAAACTCGATTGAAAATTTGGTACTTTTCTGACGTCAGAAATAGTTTTTTGAAGGAGCCTCTCAATTGGACAGAAATTTTCCACTAAATCATTAGCAAATTTTTGAATGATTATTCGAAAACTTAAACCTCAGAAAATTGAAAACTGCACTAGTTTCTTGAGAATGTCATGCACAGTGTGTAGCACTAGAGTAAAAGTGCGTTGTACGCGTCGCGTGTATTTTCCGTAGTACAGATTTCTTCCCTTAAGCATCAATAATCATTACCTAGCGGAAATCTTAGTGATATCAAGTTTGTATTTATTTATTAGATTAGCTTTGATACAGTGCTGTAGTAGGGCAAGTAAAATATTAGTAATCATTTGATAGCACTATTCTCGGATTTGTAAATGCACTTGTTCTTCACAATGGCTCTTTTACACTGTTGCAGTAAAGACCGTATTTCACACACGTCCCAGATTTTCGTTTTTTCGAAGACTTTTCGTTCGTTTCATAGAGGTTTTAGGTTTTCTGTATTGGAGCTGTAAAAAAAACTTTTCTCTATCGTCCTATGAGTTTAGACTTCTTATTTCTAGTTTATGTTGCCAAAAAACCCATTAGTGTGCTTGGGCCTAAGCGGACAAAGCGTCTGTACGGAAACCAGATGAACGTGTAGAGAAAATATTAGAGTAACAGAGCCATATGTTTAATCTAGAGCTTTCATCAAAGCGGAGAAAATCCTTGAACTCAATGATAAAAGTCGCTCTGCGCAGTCGACGCACAGCTACTCAGAAACCCTAGCCCACATGCAATGTGCGGGATATATTAAACTCATTCTCATTTTTCCTGCTAAAGTGCAGTGCAGTAAAAAGATTATTTAGAAACCAAGTATAGTGTTGGATCCGCCGAGATCTACACTATCGAATAAATTACTGACAGACAGTTTGACAAAAAGGTTTTGTCCTGCGGGATATACACGTATACAAACATCAATTCATCTTTTCTGCTACAGCGCAACAAAAGGTCTTCAAGCACAGTGTTCGATTTGTTGAGACTCACGCTTTCAAATGATTACTAACCGTCGTAACGGAAAGCTCCGTCTAGCGAAAAACATGTGTAATAACTCGCGTCGCATGTTATAAGGAATTTTATTTATGTGCTAACCGCCTCCTTCAGCCCCGTTCCAATACTTTTGAATATCTGTAATAGCAGAGATGTTGGAAACTGTGAGTGAATCAATTAGCAGTAAGATCGCGCTGAAATCTCGAAATTAAGGAAACAGAATTAGCATTGTCAATTAAAATCCCTATAGTTAATTACTGTGTCTGTCTCATATATTACGCGGAGCATTTGTCATAGACACTTCATCGAAGGCTAGTGCGATGAAATGCAGTACTTGAACCTACGGCCTTCCATTTCCTTGACAAAAACGGTAATTGGAGTAAATTTCAATATGCTTCAATAATCTAACGTTAATATTTGTTTCGTTCATCAGCATTTCTATACATTATTACTAGCCGTTTCCCACATGCGTGCAACCATGTATATTACTACTTATGATAATTCATGAAGTCCTTTTTTTCCGCCTTAGCCTCTAGCTATTTAGATGGACTAATAAAGACAAAGATTAGCTTGCGAATCTTTTTGCAGAGGTATCAATTTGATCTCAGCGTTTCGGCATCACAAACTGTGCTGGTGATAGTGTCGGCAGTGGTTCTCGTAGAAGTGCTAATGCTTGTTATTGTGGTGAAACTCCGATTTTATCTGAGGAACAAACGACGATATATAAGGCATGGGTTACCTCCGGTGAGTGAATCAAGCAATGCTTTACTTCAACCCTTTCAAAAGTAGTTTCTGCGACAAGTTTGACTTTGTGCCGATCGGATAGCGATAGATCACAAACTAATTTCTTTTTCTTAATGAAAGCTTTTTTTCAACAGATTATTTACGCGGCTATGAATCACAGTAAGGTTAACTGCTCAATGTTAACCATCCCTTGAGATATGGCCAAGTGTTTGGGTTGTGTGAGCATCGTGATAGTTTATGGATGTAAAACTTATCTACAAAATGGCTCACCGAAGCATACTAATGTATCAGTTTAGTGTTGCTATTATTCAGTTAAGTATGGAGGCAAATTACATGTTCCGAAAAGAGTGGAAGGTTGCTCTGCTCGATGCGTGAAATCAGTCCAGAGAAGAGATGTGTATTGCCCCACACTTCCGACAATCATTCTACAGACAAGCTAGAGAAACGAACTTATTTCTCATATTCGCCTAAATTTACTTTCGTAGGAATATGTTAAATGCGGAGCAAGTAAGAAGATCTAAGTAATCTGAAGCCTTTAAGCGTGAAAATTTATTGAATTTCTAACTAATAATCATTTGAAATCGTACCCAATATGTGGAGTAATGTGCAGATAAGAGTGCTGTGCAAAAGGAGCGTCGTAGTGCAATGGTTAGCATACGCTCCCGGAAAGAGTGAGATCTGGGTTCGAATCCCGACTGACGCAAACGTTTTTGCACAGTACTCCACATATTGGGTGTAGTATAAGATCATACCACTGCAAGTGGCAGTCAAAATAGAAAGAATTTAGACATTTGAAATCGTAATTGTGAAATAATGTGATAACACGTTTTGAGCCTTCTATGGAGTCTGGTACAGTACTTATACAGTGCTAGATAGCTGCTATTTCGCCCTTACAGACTTCTCAGTGGCACGGTGCCTTTCGGCTCAGCAGATTCCTTGCAAGGGGTTATGCTCCTACTTATAAAGGAATCGATGCCAATCTAATAGATCACCTCGTGTCGAATGTCAAAATTTCAGGCACTGCAATGACTACAGTCGAGCGCTTATGCCTCATAGAATGATCATACCTTCACTCAAGGACAAAACAGCTATGTTTAGTAGAGCATATGTGCCGCTCCGGATCTCATAAAAGTCTTAAAACATGTTGTCACGCTATCAAATTTTCCACTTGTTATTGTTTTGAGCGAGGCTTATCTGAACAGTCGAGAGTAAAGGTGTGAAATAGGGGTTTGAAAGGAAAGGAAGTAAACACGAGGAAACATTTTCAGTGCAACATTCCTTTCTGATCAAAGTAACTCAAGCGAGGCGATGACATTTTTGCGAGAAAATTATTTGTCGATTCAGAGCAGAGAACGTTCTACGGATCCGGTAATTCACATCATCTTTACAGTTTGGTGACTGAGGATTTTGTATTTACAAAATGCTGTTCTATCTGTAGCAAAGGAACCTTTCATTAGAAGTTAAGCTGTTCCATGCAGTCTAGCAAAATTCAAGTCTACATCGGTTTAGCTCGCGATCAACCCAGCTGTAGAGAAGAAAGATTTTTCGAAAGAACCACAGATAGCTTAGTTACAAGCTCTTGAGCAGTGAGATGTGAGTCGTATGTCTTAAGATTGATCCATCTACCAGTCACATACAGGACGAAATTGCAGTATGGCCAACAGTATTTACCATGACAACAATCAGCTCATTAAAAGATTGGCAAAATCTCGAAAATAGTACATCAGAGTGACGTGTGAGAATCTCAAAAGGACAACTATTACATAAGTTATTAAGAATGAAAGCACGAATAGCTTTAGTGCTAGGGCATGAGTGTCTATGCGGAAAGCGGTAAATAGTATAGGGCAAACTACTTAAGAGGATTCATGAGAACTTTCGACACATAGAGGGATGAAGATTATCGAACTTGACAGCCAACATCTTCTTGGGATGCCTGAGATTTATCACACAGTTTGTCATTCACAGCGTTGACAATTCCGTACCCAACGACACAACAGTCTCAACAATTTCACAATCTAAAACAAATTTAGAAAACAAGCAGTCCAGTGCCCATTAATGCCAGCATTTTCATGAATTCATGCGGGGCATCTTCCTTTGTTTTTATGTCAGAATAATATGGTACTACATACAACGCTTCCTGGGAATGTGTGAATGGAAATAATCCTACTAAGAATAGAAGCTTCTGCTTCATGGAAACACTTATATTTTCCAGTTGAACTCCTCGATAGTCCCCATGGAGCCTTGAACTTAATAGTCTCCTGCTTTTCTTCAAAAATGTAACTGGAGTCCCACACGAATACATACTACTACAATAAGGTTAAGCTTTGAATCGGGTTCAATTTATGTGCGTCAGTAAAGTGACGAAAAAAGTGACATTTTCCAAAGTGTGTCCTTCTTGGCAGTGCTTGAATACATTTTTTTAGACATTTTATTGATCCATCTTCACAGTGTTTTTTCTTTCACTGTGCGGATTCCAGTGCTTTCAGAATTCAGTTTGTTTTTCGCCTTCCTCTTGAACGTCATAGAATACTGCTTGAGCGAGTCCCCTTGCAATCTCGAAGATAGCTTGGTTGTGTTGCTCCACAAGGCGTGGTTCTTGACTGCCGGAGAGAGTTGGGGGTGAAGCTTGGCTTCACGGCGCCGCGACGAGCATCACAACAACTCGGCTACAGCTCATCCGAAATTGTTCTAATTTATAAATAACAATCTGTCGTCGAAGTACAGCTGTCATCCAGCGCTATGCGTTGTCCTTGAAACATTTTTACTATTTTGTGTGTCTCTGTCTGTGGGTTGTGTGCGCATGTGTACGTGTGTGTGTGTGTGCGTGTGTGTGTGTGTGTGTGTGTGTGTGTGTGTGTGTGTGTGTGTGTGTGTGTGTGGGTCTTGGTATAGAAGTGTGCATGTGTATGTACGTGCATGTATATTTGTGCCTGTGTGTATGTGTATGTGTTAGAGTGAAGTGTACTCATAGCTTTCGATGTCACTATTTGAAAACATGGAAAAAAAGGAAATTGTGGTAAATTGAATAGAAAGTCTAAGACATATTGATATTATCTTGTTGAAAATTATTCACTGTTTTGGAAGTAGTGAGACTACCCGTACGTTGTTCACGTGGGAGTATAAGTGAATCCATCGAGGAAAGAAAAATCAACTAGAGCAAAAGCGCATAGCTACGTATGAGTCACTGCATTATTCGCGTTTCACTCTTAACATTGAAAACTTTTGTCATCACACTCGTCTGGGTGGGCAGAAGCACTTGCTGGATACGTTGGTGGGCTATTGTGTAAAGCAGCACAGATGAGATTTGTGTTGAATAATGTGTACTGTGCCTGATGAAATCTCTTACAGGGCTCATCTATCCTTCAGAGATTTATCAGATATGATATAAAATTCAAAAAAAATTCAAAAATAAAATAGATATAATTCACTTCTACCCTCATTATGACAATTCATCAAACCATTGAAAAACTTGGACGATTATAAATTGCAGCCGATACGTGAGGTGATTCGACCATCTAGTACGCCAGTTATACACTGCTACAATGTGGACCTCGATCGGTCGCAAAGCGCCGAGAATGGCGACTCGTCACAGGGATTCGCTTCTGATAAGAAGCGAATGTTCAACTTCTGAATCTTCACGTCACAAATTGCGTCACTCAACGATCAGATGAACTTCGCGAACAATACAATGCTAGCAGAGAATCAAAAATGAACTATAAAATTCACTCTGTTTAGTATTACAGAGGGCAGCTATCAGTATTCTTTTTGTTGCCATTTCTCTTTAAAATCGCTGCTGTGAAGAGCATTGTTTGGTTAAATTTTTGCAATTTGCTTCCTGTATTAATTTTTATTTATCAAGTGAAGCTTATGTTCATCCCTCTGTTCGACTTTTGGCGATGCCCACCTAATTGACAAGGATATGAATTCTAACCCGAGTTTTTCCCATTAGCGAATGACTTTAGATTTTATAGTAGCTTGTATAAAAATTTTTAAGCATTACTGTGCTGTTAGATGCTGCTGAACACAGCTAATCTTGATAGAGTGCTTAGAAAAAGTTGTCATGATGCCTTGTCGTACCATAACAGCGCCAAACCACTTCTTCGGGTTTCTTTTTAATGATATCACCGCAGGCCTTAAGTAAGAATTGGAACAAAGAAAGATGGAGGGTCTTCAAGTTCAGCGTGATCCACAACAAACTTAGGTGCCTGAATTGACAGAGGTCGTGAGGTAGCAAAACAAATGTTATAATTAGGAAGTGTTGGGAGAATTTGAGCAGACGTTATCTAAACAACAAATTTGTCAGAGCAAGAAGATTTAGAAACCCTCATTTTATCGAATTGTGGTGGTCTGTCTCACATCCTATTGAATTAATATGGTCTACCTCATTTACTCACTACGTCACTTATCATCCTCTCCATTATGTCGAGATCACTGTAACTCTCTTTCAGTTTGAAATGGAACAATACAAAAAATCCGGAATGATTCTCATTACACAGTGTAGTCCTCATCAAGGCACACAAATGTCATGCCTTTGTTTCGTATTTTCCATATAGCTGCAGGTATTTCCAACTGTAAAGCCAGTGATTTACTGTGCTCTTTGACCTAGGTTGTGAATTATTATTGAATTAAATGGGTAAACAGTGCAATGAGATACGGTGAAGTTAACGTGATATAGTGGAGTCAGTGGCACAGCTACCCGAGAAACCAGGCCGAGTTAGGTGAAAACGACTGCTGAGCATGTCTGATTTCACAAATTCAGGTTGGCACTGCTTTGCTTTAGCGATCTGAAGTTGATCAAACAACGGGGACAGCCATCGTTAAAGGCGATAATCGGAGTATCTTCTTCTGTTTAGCCGCTCCGAGGTGTTGTTGATATTAGTTATTGAATATCAGCGAAGCATATAACAATATAGTTAATAATGCAGCGCGAATATTACAACAGTCGTGGTGGTTAACGTTTCGGCAAGGTTCGTCATCTTCAGAGCCTGGAAAGGTCAAATTGATTCGCAAATTATTAAATCAAATGCCTTCAAAACCTTAGCAGAAAGTGTGAGAGATAAATTTTGGGGTCGCATAAAAAATTCCATTTCAAAAACACTCACCGCTTAGATGTTTTAGATCTTTCAATTAATCATTGAAGACCTGCCACTTGGAGTCTGTGTTAATGTAAGACTGTGCCTGGCTCAGGTAGGGAATATTAGCCTGAGATATGCTGCGAGGTCACACGTTATTACGAGGCATTCCTCTTTGCGGTTCATTTCTGGACCTTTGCTATGTATCCAAAAGGCTTCCAAAGTTTTACGCGTAGACGTTTTCGATTCCTGTGCAAGGACCGTGCATTTAACGTCAAAATCTGCTTCCTTATGCTTCTGTTCCCTATGCGTGCCTAGTGGGGTTTTTGAGTCGGAGTTACGTTTCCCAGCTAGATGCTCTTTTACGCGGATGCAGAGTGGTCTACCCGTTTCGCAAAATATTCATTACCGCATGCCTCGCAAGAGATCAGGTAAATTGTACCCGACCTCATGCAGTCGCCGTCTCTTCCTTTTGGGCAAACTTTGCAATCGTTGGTTTCGCAGAGACGATCATACAGCCAGTTGCGGACTAATTGGCGTTTTAGTGTTTTTGGTGGTATCTCGACTACTGCTACCGAATAATCTAAACCTGGTCTTCTTAAGCAGCGTTTAATGGCTCCACTCACTTCGTT